CAGAAGCGGTGCCACACTGGTGGGAGATACCCGGTTGAGGGAAAACCCCAGAAAGTCTAAGTGGGTCGGCGCCGGATCTCACCATCCAGCGAAAGATCATCACCGCCAACTCCCATGACGTAAAACGTACACTTGCGGGACAAATGCCTTTAGCAGTTCACGCGCCCGGAATCGCTAATCTATCAGTGAATTAAGCGAACGGATTTCCAACGCCCCAGCCTCTGAATGGCTGTTGCGATCAGTGAACCAACAACGGCGTCGCCAATGCGACCACACAATCCTCTCGAAGGCACCTTTCGCCTTCTCTTGTGCATTTGTTCTCTTGAGAATGTCTTGTTTGGTAAGAAGTGACCTAAGCGATTGAGCTTTTTCCTGCCTCTCCTGTCGCGTGCATTAGGGAGCATTTTATCATTCCGTGCGTGCCGACTGCTATCGACGTTGGTCCCGTAAATGTAATGCATGTAATATCCCGGGTGGTGGCGGTGTTCCACCTGGACGTGAGATCCGGTGCCGATCTACGCGTCAACTTGCGGGGTTTCCTCCTCTGGGTATCTCTTCCGGCGGGGCACCGCACCAACCGAAACAAAATCAAAGCTTCCAACTAAACTACCGACATGTGCTGGGTTTGTGTGAGAGATGAGGTGACGTGAATGAAGAGGAGATCGCCCGCTGTGCATGGACCCGCATTTGCCTGGTATTGAGAGGAGAAACCGCTGAAAACTTTCGATACAAAGCAGCCGTCTCTTGTTGCTTTTAGGTTTCGTACTTGGGCGGGATTATCTGAAATTGATATTTTTTTTTATTTACACTCATCACAACTTTTCACTTTACTACGTACTTTGTAATGCTTTGGGTTGCCTCAAGTTATAAATTATCTCAAGATTTACACGACGACGCACGAATCCCTTCCCCTTATCCCTTTCCGTTACGGACTTGCGACAGCTTATTCGGACGTCCGGAGTGAATTTCAAGCTTCCCAATCGAACCCTGCACGCTCGATGACGAAAGAGCAAACAGTGCGCAACTTCCCCATCTCACTTTGTAGAATGTATTCGCTTCTCGACACCCCAACTCCTGAGTCATGAGATATAGTGCCCTGTTAATCTCATGGGCACTTTAACTCTATTTTTTATACATTTATACTTATCTATTTGGGATTTATTTTATTTTTGTTTATTTTTATTTATCTTTTTTTAAAATTTGGATGTATTGTTTTTATTAAATTTTTATTTTGTACTTTCTTTTCTTTATTAACTGCTATTGAGACTACGCTCATTAGCTGTAATAAATTATTATTTTATTATAATATATAAGAACAGTAAAAAAACTGGATGACGAGCAACGGGGAGAATTGCTTTCTGTGCACGTTTTCTTAATTCTGGGATCCCTACTCTATACCATGTACAAAGTTTAATACAGAAATAGGCGAGCGTTTTTGGAAAGAATTGTTAACAAAATATTCGCTTCGATGTTATAAAATATTTTTAAAAGCAAATCAGCTACTGACTTGGGATCTTATCCCTTATCATGCCCTTCGTGAACATAAAACTTGTAATGCAACAACATAGATAAAGATAATTTGAGTAACTATGTTTCCTACTGAACTCAAGAAAACTTGCTCAGATAATGAAGTTACATTTATGTCTAGAAGCAAAACATAAGGCTATATCAACATTTGCTCAAGGGATCAGGGAAACTGGACGAAAAACCTGACCGAAATGGAAGTATTATATTTATTATTATTATTATTATTATTATTATTATTATTATTATTATTATTATTATTAAATATTTTTGAGCAAAAAAGTTTTTCATCTGTAACCACGGTGGAAGCCCGCGTAGTATCATTTTTAAAGACATGATTAGGTAAAAAAAAAACGAGAACCACGAATAACTGACCACAAGTTTTCCGCACCATATCTTGTGATTGGAGGTCGCATCAAGTGGTCCCTCACGCACGTTGCTGCGGAAAGACAATAAAACTCTCCCAAAAAGCATCTCCCAAATAAGATTAACTAATGGTGCTACAAAATGGCACAGACTTTCCCTATTAGTTTTCTATTTTCTTTGGTCTCGGCTAGCTATACGAACTTGCCACACACTCTTGCTAGCTGTCATGTATCACCGCCCAAAGTACTTTTCTTTTTTTCTTTTTTTGACATTTTATTAATTTTTCGGTTTCCTAATAGAACGGAAATATTATTTTAAGAATATTAAAGAACAGTAAAACCTCGTCTTAAATGGCAATTTTATTAGAAAAGATTGTAAGTTGAGGTATTTCAATTTAAAAGACTAAAATATACAAACTTGAGCAACGTAGCAGATAGTCCAACATACAATTACACAAATAAAAAATGCAAATAAAATATTGAATACATAGTCGAATGTATATTTACACGAATACAATTTTCAACAAAGTTCAATAATTTAACATGAGCACTAAAATCACACTCTAGAGACATGAGTACGATTAAGTTAATGTGAATTGAGTGACTGACGAACCATCAATGAAACTTTCTTTGAATTGTCAAAGTGTAACTCACGGTCTTACCTGAAGGTACTTATCCATACTGTAATCTAAGGTTTGCATGTGTTATTATGCAAGATTGAACACTCTTCTTTACATGATAGAAGTCATTCTCACTGAGTACTAGTCTTAAACAATTCAAGCACAAAATAAAATACGGGTAAGCCCTTCAAGTCAGCACAGACGGTGTTGCCAGTCGCTACAATAAGCAATATATCACTATTCATTTAAAAGTCAGGTATTCATTTGAAGAAGTTGTCACAGAATAAGTAATGAAATATCCCGTACTCATTTCAATCGGCCCGAATCGTAGGTGCGACACAAATATGAAATGAAATGGTTCAAAGTTTTACAAGATAATGATATTATTATTATTATTATTATTATTATTATTGTTATTATTATTATTATATTATTATTTATGCATTTTTCCACCCCCTAAAAGTTTCATTTGGGCGGGCCGCCCCGGCCACCCACACTACGCTACGCTTCTAATTCAAAAACTTATTTTTAAATACCTAGGATGCATCGTTCCGAATTATGCACGATAGTAACGCGTGTGTCCTCTTTCCCTCATTCCGTAATCCTAGAACTTATGATTTTCGTTCGTCTGTCATCGATTTGATTCACTCCGGGGTAAGGGCATTTCCTTCTCGAGCAGTAATCACCTACTTGGGTTTTGTGGCGATAGCTTCTTATAAATTATTCTTATAAACCGTCGTCTTTCCTTAGCTTGGGGGATTCTTTGTAACGTCAGGCATTCAACGGTTTACAGACGCACAAACACACACCATATACTACTGTTTTGCACTGTTCAATTTCAGTTCGAAACTTGCAAGAGGACGTGAGACTCATAGGTGGGCCATAACACGTAAACCAAAAATACTCGAAAGTGATTTAAATGATATTAAAAAAATTGGGAATTATTTATAAATAAATACATTTTCTTTCAATAATAAATCCACATATATTTAAATCAATGAACCTATTGATTTCCAACCTAAGATTCTGAGGTATATCTGGGTTCTAAAAAATATCAAGTATAGAATAATCCGGTGAATTCGTTTAGTGACTCCGTGAAGTCACGGAGGTTCAGCGAATTCGAGAGTTCGCTAGTTTGCAGTTCGGTGACCGTCTAGGAACTTCGGGGTCTAACGGCGCCGAGCCCCTGGCAGAAGAGATAAAAGGCAATGACTGACTGCGACATGACGAGACTTGACAAAGAAAATAACAGAGGATTTCCCGAGGAAGGCGCGAATACTTCAAGGCTGATGCCCAATGCCCAAAACGGGTTCAGAGACTCGTTGTGTCAACAAAGACGCACTGTTTTTTTTGTTTGTGTTTTTATCCATAACTACACCATCTTCCGCTGGTCCTGTCTTTGTGAGGAATGTCCTGTTAGGAGTGTAGTAGGCTCTCCATGATACATCTACATTAAAGACACATAAATAACAGGGCCATCAAGGATAACGAATGTAGATAGCACTGCCTGCGACACGATGTGTCAGCGTGCACCAAGGAAATACATTTCGGCAACTCAGCAACAATGCATTGCACCCATGTTATAATAGCCTTATTTTCATCTCTGTATATTAATTAATTCCGTAATATTCGTTGAAAGTTTTGATACATTTTGTATTATTCCAACTTCTTTTCTTTTCTTGGTGAATCCCAATATTATTTTCATTGTAATTAATTGTAATTTCTTTGCAATATCTTTAGATTTAAGAAAAGTACTTTCTGCAGATTCATAGGGAGTCAACGAAGGTATATTGTATCAGTTCTGTTTGCGATGAATGAAACGAGAATATTTATCATACATTGTCTAGGCTTGGCCACCACAACAAAGACGCGGCTAGTTTCGGATAGCCTAGACAATACAAACACTGGCTGCGGAAAAGACTACGTAATCATAGGAGATTTATTGCAAATATTTTAAGCTAATCTCTTACTGTATCAATGTTAACCGAAATTTTCTGGCAAAGAATCAGAATTGCTTAAAGGAAGATTGAAGGATAAAGAATTGCTTAGGTGAAAATAGAGAAGTGAATATTTTTAACTTACTTTTTACAAGTTACAAGGAGAGCTCCAAAGAAAAGTTGCTCCCAAGGCGGTGCAGACACGACTGGATCTCGGCATGCTTGCTTGCAACACCTTAAAGTAACTTGATAAGAGATGATAAGAATAGCATGCTCCCATTTGAAGCCTAACTAGCTTTGTCTTTCTTTCTTCTTTTTCAGTTTTTTGCATATTTATAGAATTTTCTAAATTATTCACATCATAAAAGTTAAAATAAAAGTGTCTTACTTATATATAAAAAATTCAAGGACCATTTTTAAATAAAGAAGGTGGAAGTACCTGTTTGTGGTCTATTGAGTGTTTAAAAATGAACAGTTGCCGCGAAAAAAACAAAAGCTGCTAGTTTGCAATTTGCCCACTAGATAGTGCTGTTTTGAAATTTATTTAATTCAAAATGGCGCCAGTGCAAAGCGTGATTTGGCGTGATTTGTATTCACAGTGTATGCATCCTGGTATGCATTCGAATGTATTTCATTATCTAAATCAGTACTGTAATGAATTGTTTAAAAAAAATACCCAAACACTTTCAAAAATTCAAAATAATTGTATGAACATTTCCTTCATTTTTATTCGTAATTCATTCTGCCAATCACCTGGTATGGTGTGATACAAACGAGACTTTGACCCGATTCTCCTTGGATACCTTGTTATGATAATAACTATGTTTCTCACATTCTCACGCCGACTTGGGAGATAGTACAGGTTATAACACCGGTTTCCTGTTCATAACCAGTTGATCTCTCGTTGCGCATTTTACAAGGCGAGCGAAATGGCTGAAGAAGTGGATGGAAATACGATTTTGGCAGAAGCATTGAAAGCACAGGTTCGTTTAAACAGTAACTATTGCATTGTCACCTTTTATCGACAATGACATTGCATTCGGATGTGATATACAGCTACCGTGTAACAATGTGCAACAGGCGTCCTTTAATGCTGATACCTGAAGTTTATGATGCTTTATTTCCTTTCATGACTCGAAAACGCTACATCCTTGTTTTTATGTGTAAATCTCAGAGAATTTTCAATTAATGCTCTTGGTGTATTTCTATACCAGGAATACACCAATATAATTTCATTACAGATAAAACATTTTATGTTGAATTAATCAATTCTTCCTTACAGGGAATTGAATATGTCTTTGGCATTGTTGGCATTCCTGTCATAGACCTCAGCATAGCAATGCAGCAAGCTGGTTTACACTATGTGGGCATGAGAAATGAACAGGCAGCTTGTTATGCTGCCCAAGCCATTGGTTATCTTACGCAAAAACCAGGGGTGTGCCTTGTCGTATCAGGACCAGGCCTGTTGCATGTAATGGGAGGCATGGCAAATGCACAGAGTAATTGCTGGTAAAAACATTCAGTATTAAAAAATGATTAAAAAAACGAATGGTACAAATCATATATATAAATGTAATAAATAAAAGAAAGTTATTGTTCAGGATAAGTTGGCATAGAAGTAAGATAATTCTTATTTTATTTCAAATTTTAATTCATTCAATAGCGTTCTGATTTATCAGGATCTGTAAATTAATATACTTGGGAGACTAACAAATATTATTCTTTATAATTACTGCCAAACACTAGTTTTGTACAAAATTTGGAGATATTATTATTATGATGATGATGAAGATGATATTATTATTATGGAGAGAGATTTTACAATTTTTTAAAATTTCAATGGTTAATATAACAGAATTTTTTATCTAACTTGTAAAGTGTGTCAATGAAAATTTCAATGCTAGAAAAGCATGTTTACTCAGGGAAAATTAATACAAGATCCTGAGTTCCACTGAGTTAACGTTATCAGTGAGAATTATTCACAATATTTTTTATAAGCCTTAATTAACAACAAATTATGACATTGGTTTTCTGAACACAATAGTGTTAATGTTGTTACTGAGCATCTTATCTGATGCTCTTTGAACTTATTGAATTGAGCTATAAAATGTCAACATGATTAGTTATCTAAAAGCATTAATGATTTATGGCTTCTGATATGGCTAAGTTACTAAATGACCAAGAATGACTTGAGCAGCCTTTTTTTTATAAACACTCTCTTTTGCTTCTTCTGGGCTTTGTTTGAACAAACTTTTTATTTGTATATATAATTTTATGTAATTATTTATATGTATAAAAACATTATGTAATTATTTAGTGGGGTTCAAGCGTGAATTATGTAAATATGTGTATAAATAAATACACACACACACACACACACACACACACACACACACACAATTCACGCTTCAACCCCACTAAATAATTACATAATGTTTGTGACAACACCCCACACCATTTACAGTAAGTAAAAGTATATTGTATAACAGTAAAACCATTTTTATTATTTTTATTTTTGAAATATATTAAATTTTGTTATAATTGAAATCTGTTCACAAGCAATTATTCTGTAAATGTTTAAAATGTAAAAAAAAATAAAAAATTTTACATGAAACTAAAATAATTCTCCCCTACCCATAAGTAACGCAACATAACACTGCCTTAGTTAAGTTTTCCGTAAAAAAGGATAATTTCAATTGGTTCTCAACCAGTAATAAATGTTTGATTCATAGGCCTTTGATTGTTATTGGAGGATCATGTCCTCAAGACCATGAAGGCATCGGAGGTTTCCAGGAATGTCCTCAAGTGGAGTTGAGTCGTCCTTATTGCAAGTACAGCGCTCGACCACCAAGTGCAGCTCTTATTCCACTCCATGTGGAAAAAGCTGTTCGCTACGCAACATATGGACGTCCTGGTAAGACAAGAAAATCATGTATTCAAATGTGAAAGATGCAAAGGAAGAAGAATGTGGAGTCCACTTTTACGCATTTCACTGAAACTGAATTCAATGTTTTAAAGCATAGTGGAAAATGTTTCTTCTCTTTTGTAATTTTCTGTAAACAAAGTTTTTTTGTAGTTGGAAAAGTTCTAAGAGTGTAATAATCAGTCCTTACAGTAGCATTATGTCAAGATCTAAAATTTACCAAAGTGGACTTTCATTTCTTTTTTTCCCCCTATACTCTTCAAATTCCATTTTTTTTCTTCCATGAAATCTCATATAGACTGTCATCTTCTGTATCTCATAGCTTTTGTTTTGAAAGACAGGTGTCATCAAAGGTGAATTATTGGTTGAGTTCATTATTGGTCATCAAAGGTGCAAAAAGATTTTGCAGGTCAGACATACATTAATGTTTATATGGAGAAGGTGTGCAAGAATTACATCTTCTAGTTGCATTGACTAAGCCACTAGAGATAATTTAAAACATTTTGAATTGTTCTGTAGTGAATCACAAACAGATTTGTTTTGTAATTTCTGTTGAAAAAAAATATTATTCAATGATGCTTTTGTACAGTTTTTTTGCTTTTACTTTCCAGGAGTGGCTTATCTTGATTTTCCTGGGAACATGTTGATGCAACGTATCAACTCTGATGATGTTAGTCCAACATATCCATGTCCAGAGCCCCCTATAGCATATCCAGATCCAAATTCAATTCAGAAAGCAGCTCAGCTTCTCAGACAAGCTGAAAGACCATTGATCATTGTTGGGAAAGGTATGAAAATGTTCATGTTTTGTAAGAAACGATTTACAACTAGTGTAATGAATTATTTTTCTTATTGTTATGGAGTTGTGTGAATAAGATTTTCAGATACTTTTGTATTTAAAATATATGCAGCAACAGAGACAATTTATCAAGTCTGTTTTTCTGTACCAAAATCTCATTAAACAAGTATTTTTGTGATGTTTAGTTTGAAATTGTGTTAAGGATTGTCTTTATTGAGACCTTTGTTTTCAAGTGCTGACTGAGCACTTTCTGTGTAGATCTTATTACCTTAAAAAAAGTTCCAAAAAGATACAGATGAATTAAGCTTTCAAGGTCAAAATTGTTAGATAGTGACTCAGGTGATGTTGCATAAGTCGGTGCAAATGCATGAAAAACAAAGGTCAGGGATGGTATCTTCAATTTATTTCAAGACAGATGTAGGGCTAATGAAGTCCCATACATTTATAAAAAAAGTGTTTCTGGGCATTTTAATTTATTTCATCAAATTTCCATAAACGTTCATTGCTTTCTTTACACATTCAAGTGAAGTGTCTCATGTCCTTAAATTGGTGCATTTATCATTCATATCTCTAAATATAAATGTTTTCTTTTGTTTGTTTCTTTCTGTTTGATGTTTTTCATTTGTATTTCAGTTTTTCAGAAAGAAAATAGTGTCTTCAATACTCATTTTTCCTTTTTTCACATATGTTCGTACACCTAGCGATGTTTCAACAAGACATACTTTCTTATGTTATTTGTAATTATTACGTAACATTAAAATGCTTGTGGAATCCTCAGAAGGGTTTCAACAACAACAATAACAACACTAACACTAACTACAACAACAACAACAACAAATATGACTTAAATACCTAATATTTAACATATTTTATTTAATAAATATTTATCTTCAATAACATACTAGTAGGAGGGCATCAAAAATTCAAAACTTTGGCAATTTTTCAAATTTCAGAGGAAAAGTTCCAGAAAATCAGACCTGTACATTTTTAAAAGCATATTTTGCTCTGTATGAGCAAACAAATTAAAGAAAAGTCTTAGAATTAATTGGGAATATCCATTTGAGGACCCCCCAAATGCATATTTTGACCATTCTATGTTAATGAGAAAGTTCTATATAAAGCAGAAAGATAAAAATACTTTCTCTGAATCAAGAAAATATATTTTTGGTACTTACATTACATAACTTTCTCTATAAAATGTAGTATATGAGAAAGTAAAATCTTCTGTGCTTCGTTTCCTGCATCCTTATTGTCAAGCACTTTTTCAACCTCATTCCTTCAATTGGCCATTCCTAACTTGATGTATAAAACAGTGTAATTTACACCTCTACTTGCACATCTATTGAAGTGATGTTGTATTCATTTTTTTGTCCTTAATAGGTGCTGCTTATGGAAAAGCAGAAGCAGCTGTAAATGAGCTGGTAAACGTTACAAACATTCCATTCCTACCAACACCAATGGGCAAAGGTGTTGTAAGTGACACTGATAGCCACTGTGTCTCTCCTGCCCGCACAGCTGCCCTGCAGTACGCAGACACAATTTTGCTCTTGGGAGCACGGCTCAACTGGATATTGCATTTTGGTCGTCCTCCACGTTACGATCCGAAAGTGAAATTTATCCATGTGAGTACACTGAACATGTATGTTATGCAGGGTTGTTGCACATTTGGGAGACCTAGAAAACCCATGAATGCCAGTGAAAGTTGAGTCCCCCAAAAAATGGGGAATATCAAGGAATTGTAATAATGTAATAAATGTAATAATAATGTAATGACAAATATATAATTTAAAAATTAAAATTTCACTTTTTTTTTTTTTTTTTTTTTTTTTAACTATGATTTTTATGTTTTCGTAGTTTTTTTACTGAATTAAAGTAATTTTTTTCATAAGATTAGATTACATATATAACACTGCTTTTGAATAAAACCTATTGGCAGTTTCTCTACAAGAAGGTACAAAAAAATTGTTGGATAGTTTCAGTTTTTGATCTTGAATTCTTAATAGGTATCAAGAAGAAAATTAGTGTGCAAAATTAAAATCTTTTGCTTCTTTAAAAATTGGAGAATTAGGGCTATTTTATGAAAAGATGCTCATTTAATGCAAATTGCATTTGTGAAAAGTAATTACCTTAAGCTTATGAAAGCTTTATTATTACATATGATGGCAGTGTTTGATTTGTTGTGGTAATGAACAGGCAGTGATGATTAGCTGAATACTCCACGTTGCTAGGGTATTTATTTATCACAATTGAGGGGTTGGCTGGAAGAAGGACGTAATTCAGAAAACAGATTTGAGATAGTCAAGAAAAACTGTGTATAAGCTGTATTTCCCATATATTTAAAAAAAAAAAAAAAAAATTAAAAAAAAAAATAGCTTACATATTTCATGAAGAATCATACTAGTAATTGATTAAGCACATTAAAAGCACTACAATGCTCTAATATGTAGATTTACATTAACTTAAAAATATTAAATTGTGCCCTTATTCTATAGAACAAGCTTATTTTGAAATACATAGTTTCCTTTTATGAAAGTTTGTGTAATAAGTAAGAATGATGATGGTGGTGGTAAAAGATCGTTAACATGTTATGTAGGTGGACATCTGTGTGGAGGAACTTCACAACAGTGTGCCTGCTGAAGTAGCTATTCATGGGGATATTGGAGCTACTGCAAAATTGCTCACAGAAGCTTTGAAAGGGCGATACACTCATCCATCTTCCAGTCCATGGTGGAAACAACTGAACGAGAAAGCAGCTAAAAACAAGGAAGTCGTTACGGTAAAAACACTTGTCCAAAAAGGCTCTTTCAGTGCTTATGAAAAATATATATGCTTCGGGTATAATTGAAAGCCATTCACTTGTAGCTTTTGATATATGTTGTATTTGTTCTAAATCATCAATAAATTAGAGCATTGCATTTATTAGAATATTGTTCTTCAGTTTTTAAGTTTCTCTAGTGTGTAAATTTTTCCTATAATAAATAATGCTGGAGTACATGTCAAACTGTGTTTTAAGTATTCTTCATGTCTTCCGGGCTGATGGGCCGTGGTCCAATTGGCTCTGGGATGCCAAACGTTTCGCCCACGACTGCGGTGGGCATCTTCAGTGGCGAGGTCTCGGGCGAAGTGTCCGGGCCGGTGGCTGACTGGTCAGTCGCCAGTCAGCCACCGGCCCGGACACTTCGCCCGAGACCTCGCCACTGAAGATGCCCACCGCAGTCGTGGGCGAAACGTTTGGCATCCCAGAGCCAATTGGACCACGGCCCATCAGCCCGGAAGACATGAAGAATATTGACTCCGGCCGTGAAAGCCTACAATGTGTTTTAAGTGTTGTTGCAGTTACATATTATTGTATTTGAGTGCCTTTCTGAATTTTCTGTAACACAGTTTTTGATATGATGATTTTTGTTATGTTTCAGGCTATGTCTCTTGACACAAAAGTACCTCTTAATTATTACACTGTATTCCATCATATTCAAAATCTCATCCCCAAAGGTAGTTTGAAAATCTTTTAGTAGTTAATTGTATTTCACACATTGTTTTCAAATTACAAATGCAGAACTTTTTTTTCCTTTCAGACTGTATTATTGTTAGTGAAGGAGCTAACACAATGGATATAGGTCGAACAATGCTGTTGAATATATTGCCTCGGCATAGATTGGATGCTGGTGAGTGCAATTTAATGCAGAGATTGTGGGTGAATCAGTGAATGACAAATGTTTATAATCAGAAAATGAAATTCCCATAATGTAAATTTGGCAGTTGGCTCTCTGCATCCTAGTACCCAAAGGGGAATTGTATCTCTCCTTTGAACATAACACCTTATTTTCATTATGATATTAATATTTTCATGATTAAATTTTACTCAAAGCTAATAGTTGTATTCCAAGAAAGATGCAGAATTTCAGGAGCACAATTATTTTTTCCCTTGAAATTCATTGCCCCCCCAATCTAATCCAGTGTTTTTAATAATCTCCCAGGAGTACATGGTAGTTTACATTTTTTATTTTTTTCATTTAGTTGCATAATAATGAAAGGAAGGCATGCATTACTTTAAAAAAATGTAAGTCAACACAATGACAAAATCTTCAATAAAGTTATATAAAATGAAATAAACTAGATAAATCTTTCTGCTTTTACTGCTGAAGCTCAACTCAGTGTGTAGATTCAAATCCGCATAATTATCATTTTTATTAAAAAATATTCTTATTTAAAGCTTAGTAAGGAGTATAAATAAATGAGTGAAACAAAACAAAATTCAAATCAAAAACACAATTTATATTTGAAATTATGTAAAGTAAAAAATTATGTATCTATTTTTTACAATAGTTCAATTTCTCTATCTTGAGTTTGGCTCAACCATTCTCTTATCAATTTTTATCTTGTTAGTTAACATTGGTATTTATAGTTTTCAATTCATAGGGTAGATCATTAAATTCATAATGACCAACATATGTATTCCTTTAGTTGTTGCATTTTCATGCTATTTTGTGCTATTATTTTCTTGATAAAATTCTTTGGATTGTTTCATGTGTGGTTTCCCTGTTTAGTTCTTCTGTCAAGATTTTTATAAAAAAATTTAAAGTTAGAAAAAACTCAGTTGAATAACACCTTAAAAACAGACATTTAGTAATAAGTGGTTCAAAGAATTTTTTCATAGGTGGTTGCTACAATATTCATCATCTGTTCGTGGTTCATCGTTTGTTCCAAATTTTGAAGAAAATAAATATTTCTTTTGCTTTTTATAAAATTGTTTTATTAGACTTTGTGTTGCAATTCTGAATGTCATTGTCTTTATCTTTTCCGGGATAACTTCGTTTCTTTGAAATATACATTTTAGATGAGATAAACTATTCATACGACCCATTGTCCTTTTGAACAATTGCCATTTCTGAATTGACAGTTGTTATTGCAAAACCTAAATAAGTTGAAAACCTGTACAAGTTAGAAGATAATGTTGGACCCAATTGATTCCAGCTTAGGCAGTCTTTACTTTTGTATGTTTTCATGATCATCAATTAAATTTATATATCACATGGACAAAGAGTCATAATATTGAGGTCTCCAATAAAATATTGTACATCACACAGCAAAAGTCACTTTCCATGACATGACTGGTTTGGCTAGCCTTGCCCTATCAGTCTCGTCCGGGAATTCTCACATCTTGTCATGGAATCATCCACTTTCTTCCCATAATGTGAATTACTATTTATTCTTGGTTTCTGTCTCTCTGACCTGACAATTATATTAATGATCTCTCTTACAGGTACCTTTGGCACAATGGGGGTTGGGTTGGGTTTTGCAGTTGCTGCTGCTTTGTGGTGTCAGAAAAATGCTCCGAACAAGAGGGTTCTCTGTGTAGAAGGAGATTCTGCATTTGGTTTCTCAGGAATGGAGATCGAAACCATGTTCAGGTATGATAAAAAATAAAAATAATAATAATAATAATTAATTTATGACTTCAAATGAGTGTACTCTCAGTGGGAGGTAATCGAAAAAAGAAGTATAAAATTAAAAATTAGAACAAACAACTCATGTGCTTCTGGGAAGGATTGCCAGCACCTCTGCAAGTAAATTGTTCCAGTCAGCAGTCGTCCTATTAACAATGCTGAATTTTCCTAATATGTTCTTTGCTTTCTGCTTTTTATTATGTGTGAATGGTTGCCCCCTATTTAAGTAGCATGGCATTTCAAGTCTTTCATTGATAGCATTCCATACTGGTTGCTTTGTGAACACCTTGAAGAGATTACACAGTTGTGCTGCCTTTTTACATGTACTAATGATTCCTAGTTGACATTTTTGTTTTTGTTTGTGAATTTAGCTGCTTTTTTCTGCACTCTGTTTAATACTTTAATCTGACCTCCCCTATGAGGATCCCAGCAAGCTTCAATTATAGGACGAATGAAAGATATGTATGCATTTTCAAGTTACAGTTGGCTTTCTGTAAAATACACATAACAAAATGAAGAGCTTTCCAAGTCTTCTGTGTAGTACATCTTATGTGATCAGCCCAGCTGAGGTTGCTTCGAATTATTAAGCCTTGATATTTACAAATCCTCTGGGATTTTATTTCTACTCATTGTGTAGTGGAGTGTTTCTTGGGTGTTAAAATGATTAAATTAAAAATATTCATAACGCAAAGACGTGTGAGGAAAATTGTTGAAAGTAAGCAACCATGAAGAGAATAAGATAAAATACTAATGGTTCAAGTAAAATAAAATTTTTATTCTCAACTGATAATTTTCACTACATACCGTATTTACCTGAATATAAGACAACCTAATTTCAAATAGGCCTTCTGAGAATTTTTAAAACTTTTATCTAATTCTTACTACTTAGTCAAAATAAAATTACAAAATGGCTTATTGACTAGAAAATTGCCTTGTTGATGTTCGGGGTTCTTGCTGTACTATTATTTTCTTGTGCGTTAATATCACAGTCATAGTCTTTGTCACTACTCTCATCATCTTCACGTTTATCAATGTTTCTTTCTTTTTGGCCCATCTTTCATGCTGTGACATTTTAGGCTTCTCTTGAAAGTTTTGCGGACTAAATTGTACATTGTTCATAGTCTTTCATCCGATGCCATCTGAGAACATTCCCTTCTGTCGCCAGTTTTCAATCCAACCCATGAATATCACGATAACAATACAAATATTATAATCGCACATAACACAAAATCCGAATGCGCATTTCAGTAAAAAAAAACATTCTACTGGACTCCAAATGTCACAAACTGGCTCATTTACCATCCTAGTTATTCTAGTGATAGGATTATTTGCAGTGTAAGTATTTGTATAGGTCACTAGAAAAAGTTTATCTTTATTTCTGGAGCGAATTATAGAGATTGTAAAATCCAAGTCTTCGAGTAACAATGGGCAATCAATTTCACGGTTTACTCACTTAAATACAATCAAGAAATATTCCATAGCAACTAGTGAGGGAAGGCAGTTCAGACAGCTCTGAAGAAGCAAGTCAATCAGGTCCTTGGAAAAGAAGTAAAGGAATTGGAAAAGATATGTTACCTCCTAGACCGAGTTCTGTTGATCAATCAGAGATTACCCATTCTATAAGAAAAAAGAAAAGTTCCGATCCAAAACAAACTCTTGAAAGCTCAATACACAAATCATACACTCATTACACTCCAGATGATTGGGAAACAGAAAGTGATGAATCTGAGAAAGGCAACAGAATATCTAGTTCAATTAATTAATGATTTTATTTCAGATTTGAAGTTGATTTTCATGTTATCTTATGATAATATAACACACCAAAATTTGGAAGACAAAAAAAAAAGCAAAGATTTGTTGCACATTACCATACGTATATTGGATCGAAAAGGCAACCTGGTCAACTTGAGATTTTTTAGTATTTAATTTTAATTTTATTATCATAATTCTCCAAAATTGCTATTCAAAATATATTACATTGTTAATAAAGCATAGCTTATTAGGTGAAAATGAATTAAGTGATAATTTGCTTGAAGTCAAATCTTTTCTTTTTGAAAAGAAAGATTTATGATTAATGTACATTAATTGCTTCTAACTTTGTTCTCGTAAGAAAATAATATTTCTCTCTCATCTTGACATATTTTGTGTAAAATTCCATAAATTAATTTCTGTATGTACTTGGCACATAACATTAGAGCAGTTTGTATTTTTTTTTTTTTTTTTTTTTAAAGGATATATAAACTGTATGAACATTTATGTAACTTTTAGAAAGCAAAATGTACATTATGCTAATGTGCACAAGTTACGAAGAGACAAAATAGAGGGCATGTTTACGGTAGAAGATATGAGACGATAATCACGATAAATGTAAGGGTCGCAAATGCATAAATGTGATGAAACAGTTCTGAAGAACTTGTGCTCGCCAAATTCAATTTTAGAAGAATGAGCCCAGACCAGACCATGGATACAAACAGGTTTAAAAAGCATTGTATATAACGTTTTTAAAATGTTAACTCCGGTGAGTTCAGCACATGTTCTTCAGATGAAACCAATGATGGTTGGCTTTATTAGTCGTGTAATGAATACGGTTAACGAACGACATTTTAAGAGTCAATAGTATACACCCAGATCCTGAATCACAGAGACTCATTTAAGAGGTAATGCATTTAAGGTAACAAATTTAAAGTAAACAAAAAATTCTGTTTCAATGCAGTTTTCCAGTTCATATAAATAACACCATACTCAATTACAAATTAACATGATACATTTCATTATTGTTATTATTGTTTAAGTTTTAACACAAAAACTTTTTATACATGTATTAGTAAAATTGTATATTCACCCACTACCTGCCGTAATTAATTCTAAGGTGACAACGGTATTTTGATTTTTGTGATTTTATTTGTGTCTCTCTTTGACAACTTTCCAAACTTCAAATTTTAGAGTACCATTTTTAGAACAATGCCAGGATAATGAAGTCCTTTTTATTCTTTGGTTAAACTCTGTAAATATGACCAGGAAATGGAGAAGTGAAATGGAGAATGGTAGGAGGGG